CTTTAAATTGGTAGTGGAGTGCTAGACTTGCTAGACTGCAAAATAATTTTGATTTTTATCTTAGAATTCTCGATTTCAAAACAGTTTCATCTAACGCGCTACACTATTTGTCCTACTTCAGCCCACCCTCTTAAATTGAGAGAAACAGTGTTGATCATAGAATGCTGATCACTTATTTACTAAGGATTTCACACGATAGACTGCTTTAAGTGTCATTAGCCTTTCAGCTTTCAAATAGAGTGAAAGTTAAATTTAAAAAAAACTGAACATAATGATTAATAATAATGTACAGTTTAATATTCAATTGTTTTTTGTCATAACAAAGCACTCCAAAGTTAGCTTCAAGTTTTATATTCCAGGAAGGGTAAGATTCAAGGTCTTATATGCCTTCTATAACGATTGCTGCGATGTCTTTACGTCAAACTGTTTCTGGGAAAAATTAATTTTCTGCAGAGAACATAAGAAACCTTTGCTTGCCGCAGAACCGCAAAGAAATACTTAAAAACACCGCACAACCGCATGAAAACTTGAAGGAACGCCGGCTACGCAATATACCTGATAGTTATGAGAAATTTAGACACATAGCTGATCAAATATCAAAACTGTATTAGCTAGTGCACGTATCATCAATAGAGTCGATTCACTGCTGGCAGTCTTGAGTTTAAATCGTCCTTGCTTACTTTTCTAATGTTAAGTTTTGTTTTGTTTGTTTGTTTGTTTGTTTTTTAATTGTTGTTTTCAAATCCTTTAATTATAAGTTTTTCATCCTTTCTCTGAAATCTTCTGAACCATAATCATTACAAAACTAATTATAGCTGCTGGAGAGCTTGAATTTAATTTAGTTGTGACTGAGAAAGACGATGCGGTTAACGACATATGCGCGTGGCCCTACTGAAAAACAGAACCACTTCAACGCAAATAATTTCGTTTAATTAAGCCTTACTCTGGAGCTTTAACAAAAAAAAAACGATCACCGCAGGATGTGGGACTTTCCCGAGCATCACCGCAAATCCCAATGTCCCTTGTTTCTTCGTCCTGAAGATATTTTAAACAAACTTTCGACACGAAATTATTTCTTGTGATGGTGCAACGAACTTGAACTTTCTCTCTTCATTAACGTTCAAGTACAAAGCGAACAGATTCACCACAGAGAACACCCATTAGTAACTACGGTGAACTCAAAAAGCTTAGATATATCTTTCACCACCTGAAGGTCAATTTGTAACCGGACAAAAATGGTACGTATGTTCAATTAAGAATCAAAGTTGTATGATGCCTCTAACTAATTTCTATCAAAAATCGTGAAGGAAAACACTAAATCTACTACGTTAAGAAGTATAGTTTCTTTCTTTTCTTTTTGTTTTTTTTGAGAAGTAAATTTTATCTGAAACAACTAACACAGAAGAATTAAATCAGTGGTGTTCTTTAGCATTTCTTCGGTACCAAAAAACAAACAAATAACCACATAGATGAACCGCCAAAGATGCTGTTTTTACAGGAAAATATAGTAATTTTTACGAGTGTTTGTTTGGAATATATTTCTGCATAATCTTTTTATGTTAACAATTTTCGATATCTTCAAGTTCTTTCGCTATAGTATTTAAAAAAAGATAGAAAAGCCACAGTAGTTTTTCAATTGCCAACTATTATATTTTACACGGCTGTGGATATATGAAAGTCATATTTGAACTGCGGATTAAGACGTGAATTCATATGAAAGCGATCTTCGCAGTTATGAACACTACTTAAGCAGTAGTGAGAATAAAGCCTGAAAAAAAATTCAGGCCTGTACGGGATTTGAACCAATGACCTCTGCGATGCCGGTGCAGTGCTCTACCAACTGAGCTAACAAGCCAGCTAGGAGCTCGTTGCTGTGTTGGTTCCAAATAAACCCGTGAAGTGGTGAATAAACGGCTGTGGATATATGAGAGTCATATATTTAAACTGCGGATAAAGACGTGAATATGAAAGTGATCTTCGCAGTTATGAACATTACTTAAGCAGTAGTGAAAGGAAGGCCTAAAAAATATATAACTTTCACTGCACCAGTATCGCAAAGGTCATTGGTTCAAATCCCGTACAGGCCTGATTTTTTTCAAGCCTTCATTTCACTACTGCTTAAGTAGTGTTCATTACTGCGAAGATCGCTTTCATATTCAC